ATATTAATTTTCACGAAAACAGCAACAAATTGCAGTGCCTTTACAGAAAAATTCTGCTTGGCATTTTTACAGAATTATTGGGGTTTGATTGTTTTTTAAAGACAAATTCATAGAAACTGGCACAAACTCGGGCAAATTTCCAGTACCACAAAACCTCCACATTTATTTCTTTACTTATTATTTCAAATTTTCAATAATGCCACAGTTAAAACTTGCTCCTTGCCTGACTCTGCCTGAATTCCCTGCACCAATCCAGCAGGGAGTCATTAATGAACCACCAGCCGCAAACCCCAAATCCCAGGACAGGAATGTCTGAGGGCTGCAGTTTCATTTCAGTTTGGGGCAATTTTCCTGAATTATGTGAGTGTGGGGCTAGTAGGAGACTCTCACAGGTAGAGCATCTATAAGGTCACTGGTATGGCCAGTGGTGGAGGATATTACAGACTTCAAATGATTTAGTGTGAGCAGCTAAGAACAGTACTTACTTGAAATAATTTTATACAAGATTTTTCTCCTCTATTCTTTATTTAGAAACTCTGTCATTAACTATCCCGCATTTATAATATAAAGATTATCAAAAAGATTTGCCAGTACAATGAAACTTGGTGCTTATCAGCTTTGTGTATGATTTATGTCTAATCCCCAGACTTTGCAGCCATTTGTGTACCCAGCTGAGACCCAGGCTATCCTGGCAGTATCAGTAACACATACATACCCATCCACCTACTTCTGCAGCAACACTGACCTCTTGATGTCTGAACATGTGTGCAAACTCTCTTTTCTCCCTGGTGACAATGTGTCATTCATTTTCCTGGCAGAGGGGCAGTGGATTTAGGTGGCTAAAGTCCCAGGGAACAGCAAGTTAACAGCTCCCTGTATCCACCCCAAAAGACAAACCCTTCCCAGCCCAGCCCAGGGACAGATGCAGAGCCTCACCTCAGTCTCCAGTGAATGTCAGGACAACAGGAACCACCTTCTGCCAGTTCAGAAATGGAAGTAATTAATAATGTAAGCAGGTGTGTTACTGAACTGAGAGCAGACAGCTGAGCATCCCCAGTGGCCTGGGATGGCTGCAGCTTCCTACAGCAATTCACCTCCATTCCACCTGAAGGCTTTGGTGTGCTTCCACAGTCGTAGGCATTCATTTTGTTCATTTTTCCTCTGCTATTACTATGGCCCTTTAGGTAAAATAGTTTCTCCTGCCAGGGTTAAAGGGACAGAGGCTGCTGGGGAAATGCTAAGCCAAGCGTTTGTTCAGAGGCTTTGGGAAGTGCAGGGATTCAGGTGTAGCTGGGAAAGGCTGCCTTTGCTCTCAGTTTATTAATGAGCAGTACCTTTTAATGCGATCCAAACCCTCACAGTTTCTGTACCTGCGAGGGGCACCTTGCCCTTTGCAGCAGCCACCAGGACTGACTGCCCACAGGCTGATGACCTTGGGTTTGCAGGGAGTTTAGGAAGGATGGACACGAGTGGTCAGAGCAAGGACTACCATTAAAAACCAGGGGTGTAATCCACAGGTAAACCAGCTGCAGAAGTGCAGGCTGGGCTTCCCCAGCACTTCTGGTGCAGAGGAGCTGTGGGTATGTGTAACCAGCGTAGGCAGCTTTACACAGATACTGCAAGCATGAAGGGCTGGTAGGAAGCATTTTTGGGAAAGACCAGATACCTTCCAATTCCCATCCATTCACTGCTGTCCAAAGAGTCCCAGGCACCATCTCCAGACAGAGGCTCCCTTCTGGAAACTGGACCACTGGCTGCAGGCTGTGGGACAGGGGTGGCACACACTCCATCAGGGTATTGCTTCCCCTCCTCCTGGTCATGCTCTGCCAAGGAAATGGATGCAGTTAGGTTTTGTGCTCAGAGCCAGGAGCCCCAAATTGCACTGCCTTCCAGTAGACAAGCATGATCCTGGGGGACAAAGCTGGATGCCAGGGATTTGCCCATCAGGAGAGGGCTAAGTAGGGATGTCAGGCTCTGTGAAAACCAGTGACTAATTTTCATTAGGAAGCCAAAGACCAGCAATATTTTTGGCTTTGCTTCCTCAACAAGCTGTGCAAGTCGGTGTGTGGGACAGCTCTGCAGGGAGCAAAAGTGGAGAGATCACAAACAGCTGCTGCATCCCCTTGATGTTTTCTCCTCTGCTCTCTCCAAGTTCCCAGGATAATGCTGGAGTTCCTTGTTCTGGTCGTGGGTCTACAGAGGGTAAACCCACACAGCTCCCCTCTGCTGTGCTGAGAGCTAATTCAACCAGTTAATTAAAGAGTCCATTGGACTGTCAGAAGCAGCAGGAGATGCAGAAGCAATTATCTCCAAATTGGTCATCATCACAATTAAAGTACCATTTGGCAAGTATGTGAATAGCCTGCAGCAGGGTCCCTTTATAGGTAGTAATGCCTTTTCATTATTGGGCTTTATTGCTGGGTGGTGGTGGTTACAATCTGGGTAAAGCTGTCAAGTGAAATGACAGAAACGCTCACCCCCAGTTCTGGGAGGAGTTGGTTACCGGGGGCAGAAGCAGCCTGGGATGCTATCTGTAATTCAGTTTGGTAGCTTAACATGCCGGTGTATACAAATCCCATCGAAGGAACTCATTAGGCGGGAAAGCAGAGCAACTAATTTGCTGCCCATAATTTATTTAATGCATTTAAACCTTTTTCATTTTTTTCCTGCTCACATATTGTGGCTTCCTCAGCTGTTTTCAATACTCAAACCTACTTGATAAATTCATCTTGAAACATTCAGCCCACACATGCAAGGTCCGAGTGTTGTGTTCTTCTTCTGGTCAGTAAGATAAATCTCAGGGTGCTTGGCTTCTCTGCTGGGTGGGATTTGAGGCATTTTAGCTGTGTGTTCCTCTAGGTGAGGCAAAAATGAGTGCAGCTTTGCTTTCTCTTTGAAGCTTGCTTCCCTTAGATACTGATGCCTGAAAAATTAATTGTGTTTTCAGAGAGTAGATCAGTTAGGATGTGATGGTGTGAAAAAAAAGCAGGCCTGTTATAATCCTGTCTTTTATCCAACACTAAATTGGTGCCCTGTAGCTGGTGGGTAGCTTTGAAGGGGAAAACTACAGTATGTGAAAACAATGCTGGCAGCACAAACCCCTGCCAGCAGAGGATTCCTTTAACAGTTTCTTGGAGGTGCTGGTAAGATTTTTAGGAATGATGTGCCAGCGCCAGAGCAAGACATCACCCCTGCAGTGTAGCCGTCGCACCCTGCATATGAATGCTCTTTCCTCCTCTCCTATCGTCCTCTTTCCCCACAGGGTAAACAGCTGGAATTGTTGAGCTAACTGCCAGAGGCTTCAGACTGACACTTTGTGCCACATGAGACCCTGGGACACCTTAATGACTTCTTTTTAGCTTAATGCATCTTTGTACCAAATGGCATCTCCTGCTAAATTGCTGATCTTGCACAACTGTTTTCTGACTACTGCAGAAGAGGAAGAAGAAGAAAGGTTTGGCTCTATGGATATCCTGTATGAAGTCAGCTTTCAGTGCCTGTCTGTTGTGCTTCTGAGCAAGTCCTGAGTTGCTCTGAACTATGTCTGCCTTGTTCACAGGGCAGGGGGTATCCTGGCTCTCATCCTTTGTAACACTGTAGCAGACCATGCTAGAGGTCTCTCTGCTGGATGGCCTCACACAATGTGCCATGTCTGACTTGCTATATAGAATTAAAATTTCATTATGACTTGTATGCTTCATGGTCATCTGATAGGAGTGTCTGTTCAGTGTTAGATGCAAAATGTCTTTTCTTGTTTCTTACATCAAGTCTGTATCTTGTCGGTAGAATTAGCACATTTATTGAAAGTTATGATCATTATTTGAAGTGATGGAGTACTAAAAGGGGGATGTTCCGTGGATATATCTGCACATACAGACATCTGCATTAAGGCAGCCTAGCTTGACCATCCAGCATCCAGCAGTACATTAGAGGGTAGATTCCTCCAGGTATATTCACCAGGGAAACCCAGACAGGCAGTGCAGTTTATACCCTGGCTTTCATTTTGAGTCCATTGCTGATCTACTGGAATTAATGGATAAGTCATTTGTAGGATCTTCAGATCATCTACTTCAGACATTTCAGTGGCTTGTAAGCAGCTTAATTAGGAGCCTAAGTCCCAAGTATACTCAATGGAGAAAGAGATGCATCCAGATAATTAATACCAAATAAACTGATGTCGTAGGATCAGTTTTTGCATATGTAGACAATGAGGAGTTCCTGTCCTTTTCTCTAATGATTATTCAAACAGATCCTGAGGCTGACAATGCTTCTGCTAACAGCAGAACAGGTATATTCTTCTATTTATTTTCTTAGGGTTTGTTTTTTTTTTTTAATGTTGATTGGGATGCAGATATTTCAGGTATGTCTTAGACATTTGTTACTAAGAGAAACCATACGTCTACATCTCTAAACACTCAGGAGAGGAAAGTCCTAACATACACCTGATTCCCCCAATAGGCGTTTGGACTAGGGAAAGGTATATGCATCACATGATACCTCCCAAGGACATAAGACCTGAAGAGCACTGGTAAGTGCTGTATTTAGTAAGACAATACTAGAGACTACTTACTCTTGTAAGTGGAAATGCTCTGAAATGTTGGTCTTCATCTCAAGTATTCACTTTCCAAGTTAGTCTCAAATGATCCTTGACATGCTTGTACTGAAGACATTAACTGAAGTGCCTGTAGCTTAGTTGCCTGCAGAGGATCAGTGTTTCTTAGTTCTTCGGTCTGGTTCCCTCTCATTACCAGATGCACCTTAGATACATGAAAACCAACAGGTTCTTGGTTTTCAGCTATTGCCTTGACTGCATCAAACTGAAGATTTAGTCCTGTCATGGAACAAAGTAGGGATTCACATTTGCTTGATGTGGGATGTGGATATCTGTAAGATGTACTGTCTCTTAAGATGTACTTCAGGGTTTTTAAGAATTCATTTTACGTAAGCTTATCCTTTTAACTAGCATAAACAAATTGTTCTTTATGTTTTTCCACTTTCAGGTACACTGTTTTACATAATGGGCATCATCAGGAACATGAGAAGCTTCCCATCCACAATGACCCTGAATCCCAAGAGTCCTGTTTCTAGTCACAGTCCTAGACGAGGAATAGCTCAGCTGAAGGGACAGATTCCTTTAGGATAACCAAAGGATTCATGGACAGCAGGACTTTATGAAAACTTATTCACCTGCATTGTCATGGTGCCTCCACCCCTGACTTCACATGAATATCCAGCTGCATGTAGGTAGATTGATGGGGGCATGGGAAGGTACATGAACAGAATGGCTGAGGAGGCTTTCCTGTATCTGCACGGACAGCTGGCTATATGACTGTCTCAGAGCCTTACTCCAGGAGTGAGCTGATATCTGTCAATGTAAGGAAACAACACAGATACAAACCACCCAGTGCATGGACATGGGCTTCCGTTATTCCTTTCCAGCTGCCATCTGTGCACAAGCCATTTCTGTTCTGTGATATGACCTAAAAGATTGCAAGTTCTGGGTAAAGCCCTAACACAATGTGAGACCAAATGCCCGCTTTATCTGTGCAAGACACTGCCCAGCGGTGACTGGATACTGTCAGGAGAGAAACATCACTGTTTTCTTTAGCAAAATGAGGAAGTGTTTGCCCTTTGATTACAGTTACTGGTAAAAGGTCAGCACGAGCTGCTGATTCACCCTACCCTTCAGAGCTTTCTTTGTAAATGCTTTACTGTGCTTCCTGGCCAAATTCTTTGATAGAAGACTCATTGAGCATAAATAGTGCCTGACAAGCTGCAGTGGGACCTACAGGACATTTCACTGCTAACAGAAGTCTCTACAAGCACTGTATCAATCCAGCCCAGCTGCTAAAAGACAGCAGCCATCCTCTACCATTCAGAGGCCAGTGAAAGTGATGTGGCCCTCAAAGCCAGAGATATCCTCATCTGAGCAGACTTTTGGCATTCTTACTGAGAAGAAAGGTTGGCCAAGAGACAGAGTCAGTCTGTAATAGATCACCAAGTGCCATCTTGAAAGTTACACCATCTAAAAAGCTGCATTAAGAAGATAGACTATTTGTGTTTTCCATCTTTATTTTTCTATTTGTTTCTGTTCTCTTCCAGTTGAAGTGAGAAGTTTCAAGACTTTCAAATATCCTCATATGCACACCTCCGTTTGCAAAGATCTCAGTCTTTAGCTGCTTCCTGCATGTAGATGTTGCTATGTTCCTTGTGAGCTGCTTCCACCTTTGCATGGAAAGGGTAGGCAATACTGTAGACTTCACAACTTTGGGAAGATGATATTCATGCAGTGGGAAGTATGCAGGATGAAGACTACGAGCCTCTACCCTTTTTAGATGAAGATCTAACCCAGAGATGTCACCCTGGGCCTAGAAAATAAAATCGTACTTTGTTATATTGTGTAATCATGTACAGATATTTTTAATGTAAAAAGAAATGGTGACATTATTTATTATTTTTTATCAGGAATGTGGTTTTTTTTTCATTAAAAGCTTCTAGACCCAGGAGCTTAACATTATATGTATTATTATTTAGTAATATTTCTGTTGCTATGTGACAGGTATTTACTGTAAAACAAACAAATCCTGCTTTGAACAAAAATGTTGCTCAGTAGGAAACAAAGTTGTGCATGGTAAGAGCACCTGGCTTCCTAACCATGGTGTCTGACTTCTTTAAACACTTCTTCCAAACAAAAGTTGCTGACAAAGCTTTACATAATATTCCTTTAGGATTCAGAAGGACACTGGGCAGAAACAGCTCTAATGAGAAGACAGACACTTACCAATGCAGAAAATCGCTAGCGGTTAGAAAGAGACAAACTACTGGTGTTTGTGGTTGTAGATGCCAATGGGAAGAACATGAGCTGTTTGAAAAGATATGGTGAGATAGTTTGAACCAATTCCTGGTTCACCATTAGGAACAGTTTGGCAATGATCTGTTTTTACACAGTTGTGTTTCCAAAAGAACTTGTTATCAGTTCAACTCTATTGTTGACACCAAAACAGAGCAGTGGGTGAAAAAATTGGCCATTATTGAAAGTCTGGAAAAAATCCATCCAGGGCTACTTCATTCCTATGATCTACATCTCTGTGAAACTCCTCCCATGGGGTTTTATCTGGATTTGGATATGCAGGACCGCAGGAGAGATTGTCTTGATTTCACCTCAAGTATCAAATTTCCTAAAGAAATCCTGGAAAAGCTTTTTTCTCTGTCCCTATTAAAAAGCATCAATATATTGGTGTGAAATTACTCAGTGATATGGAACCCGCAGCATGGGGATGCTACAGTGATGGTGTTCTTTGTTTCTGCTGTTGTCCCTGAAGTGTTTTCTCTGATATTTTTATGTGCTTTAGTAATATATCTCTTCTTAATTTAAAATGAACTTCTCAACATTGTATTTTACTCATGGGCAATGTTCAGAAGGCTCTATCAATGGGATCAGCAGCTCACTAGCCAAAATCAGAGAATCATAGAATAGTTAGGGTTGGAAAGGACCTTAAGATCATCTGGTTCCAACCCCCCTGCCATGAGCAGGGACACCTCACACTAAACCATGCCACCCAAGGCTCTGTCCAACCTGGCCTTGAACACCACCAGGGATGGAGCATTCACAACTTCCCTGGGCAACCCATTCCAGTGCCTCACCACCCTTACAGTAAAGAACTTCTTCTTTATATCCAATCTAAGCTCTGATAATCCAATCATCAAAAGCTCTGACAGAAAAGAAAGCCTCCAATTCTAAACACCATATTGGAATGAAATACTAAACACAAAAGGTCCATGTTCTGTGTCATCTCTGGCTAATTGCTCACTGAACTCAGTAAACCTGTCATGAATGACCTGGCGGGTCCTGCTGAATAAGTCAATAATCCTAGCAACGCTTCTGTGAACCCAGGAAATGGTGATGTCCATCATCATCTAGTGGAAAGTGTCTGTGCCCATGGCAGGGAGGTGCAACTAGATCATCTTTAAGGTCCCTTCCAACCCAAACTATTCTATGATTCTGTGATCAATAATATTAGAATTTCTATGGAAAAGAAGCTGTCCAATGGAAAGGACCCATACTCCATTTCCATTGCTAAAGGTAGCTGCTCCTGTAGCCTCTGGGTTCACCTTCTCATTGACCATTTTGGCTAGTGATGTCAGAGTCTTTGCCTGTGCTGAATGATGTGTAATGCATTGGCTGTTTCTAAAAATAAAAAATCCTCTATGTACATTGCAGTAAATTCCAGCTCATGCTCATTTCTTGTACTCTTTTCACTCAAAATAGAAGATGCTACCAAGTAAGACTTCCCACCTGCCTCACAATATACTCAAACAGCTGTAACAGCAAGGGAGAATCTGGCACCATCACTCTGAAAATGCTGATGAGCTCTTGGGTCACCACACAAGTTCCTAATATTTATCTACCAGAACAGTCTCGCCTCCTCTTCCAAGTTCTCATGCACCAGCTATTTCTCCCCACACTTTTGCTTAGGTTGCTACTGAGCCCTCTTTCTCCCTTACCTGTGCTGTGTCCACCTCATCTCTTATTTCTCCACTGAGAGATGTCATTGCTATGGGATCATACTCAAGAGAGGTACCTGCACATGGGGAGTAGGATATAATTCTGTGTGGCTCTGTTTCCCCTAGTTTCCCAGTGAATTTGACAGAAAAAAGATGCTGCCTTTCCATCTCTTTCCTGCCGTCTCTCACAGATATGCTCTAATAACTGTGTATTTATTTCTTCACAGTACACCAGTACTCATGAGCACATTATCACACCATCACATTTATGGGCTGGTAACACTTGATATTTTTTTGAATGCAGTAAGCCTCAGAAGTGTTAGCATGATGCCTGCTGTAGCTGTTTTCTTGGACTACAACTGATTACACTTTTCCTCGCCAGAGGTAATGTGCTAGCAGAACAGCTAGCTAATAAGAAATTGGCTGGCTGGGCTTTTGCTAAACCGTCTTCAGGAGGCCAGTCTGTTGGCACAGTTGTATTTCCATATTTCTGTATTTTCCTAGGCTCCAGAAGCATTTCAGAGATCTTGCATGACATTTGATAGCAGGATGTGTGCCCAGATAAGCAAACCCAAAGATGGATTGAGGTTACTTGTGCTGGAATAGGGAAGGAGAGCAACAAGCTGACTGCTTCCAGAGGCAATTTAAAACCCAGCCTAACACTAAACCCATGGGCTATCTGACTTCAAGGGGGCCCTAGACAGTGTCAGGGTGCACAACACACCATGAAGTGAGCCATCCTTTCTATTAAGCAGTTTTTCATCTCTCTCATACCCAATTTATTCTGATAGAAACTAAGCCACAGCCATGCTACAAGTAAAATCCAGAGACATAATAAACATGTCACCAGTGGAAGCTGTGTTCAAAAAACAGAAGCTCCAACAAAGAGTGCAGAAGAGACCATACACTTTAATTAGCTGATGATCAACACTGTCTGGAGGGATGTGAAACAATAACTGGATGATACACGCTCTGTAAATGTCAGTCCTTGAGGCAGTCAGCAGCTGTGTTGCTTAGTGAGATGTATGGAGATATGGCTGCAGCCCAAGTGTACTAGCAGGTCATGCTCATAAACACCATGCAGACAGACAAACCCTTATGGGGAAGTATCCTTTTGACATTATCCTTCACAGCTCTTTCAACACTGAATATCTTTTCGGTTTTTAGTCTTGGAGAGGGCAATGAAAAGAGAAGAAATTGTATCTCAGCAAAACATTCAGAAAAATGGTTCCAAAAACTCTCAAAAGCCTTCCCATTTACTTCAGAAATGTAGTATGTGACCTGCTGCTATTGCAGGATCCGATGCCCATCCAAACACAGTAAGAAATGGAAATATTTACTACTATGGCTTAAAAACGAAGGCAACAGCTTCCATTTGCATTACACCAAGGTATGTTGCCTTTGTGCCTACACTCCAGTTGCAGTGTATTAGCATTGCTCAGAAGGGACTCACAGTGGAAACTGAGGGACAGTGTTACAGCTCAGGGGTATTTGTAGAAATGTGTAGGAAGCCCTTACTTGTTTCCCACCCACATAGTGCCTAGCCCCAATCTACATTTTCCACATTCAACTTGTTTGAAGGCTAAAGTCACCCCCCAATCTCAACATAGAAGTGTATAGTTCAAAGAGAGGTCACACATGTGCAGAGGACTTGAGCAGAAAACCCAAACTGGGCACACTGAAATCCTCTTTCTCTATGCTCTGTTCTCTGTACATTTCCAGTCACAAGCAGATAGCGGGGCGCATACAACTACCATTTGCTTATAGAGATACTGTCATATTAATAAGCTTAATTCATTACTGGTTATGATTTACTTACAATCATAGGAGCCCACACCTTGGCCTAGAATATCTACCTGAAGGAGTCACAGGTTCGAGAGTCACTGTGCTGATGGTTGAACTTGCAGAATGAGTCCAATCACAATGCAAAATGGACTCACATGAGCAGTAAAAACCATTCTTGGGGTCATCTTGATTCTGAGCAGCATGAGTCCCTCACTCCAGAGAGTCTCTTTTTCCAAACTTTGGTCCTCCATGAGTCTCTGTTACAAGAAAGGACACTTCAGGGAGAATGTACATTGGAAACATGTTAGGTAACCACTGAGAACTTGAATGTGAGTCAGAGCTGGGAGGGCTAAACGATACCTTGCCTTTGACTTCAGCACACTTTACAATGGCTTTTATTTTACCATGCCTTCTCCTACTGTCCCCTAAACAGGATCAAGAACTCTGTGAATAACCAGTAGCAGTGTATTAGTTGTACTTAAATGCTTTTGCGCAGCTCAAATTAACTCTAAGTTTAGGTATTACTAAGAAATACCTTTGACCTAAAGATCATCTGATCACAGGATTGTGGCTTTTAGTATGAAATACACACACAAAAAAAAGTCTCTGCCCAGCAAAGATGAGGAAGAATCAAAAGGTATTTAAGGTATTTATTGGCATCGGCCTGACTGAGTAGTGTGCAACAGAACTAATCACCTGGGTCGAAATTGTGTCCATTCAATTCCTAGCACAGATGAAAAATACATAACAAAGCCAGTAAAATGATGGTTTCTTGGAGCAGGCAGCCCACGTATGGCAGACTCTGAGTCATTCTGAAGAGTTTTCCTCACCCATCTTTGTAAATGCTAAAGCCAAGGAGAGCATTTTCTTTCTGTAACTGTCAACTTTAAATCCTTCATTAGTTTAGGATTCAATCTTCTTCTCTGCATCAGATTTTCTGAGGCATCTCTGAGTACTATCATGCCAAAGGCAATGAATCTGTTGTTTTTTTTTCTACTAATATGAACTGAATAAAAATATACAAAAGCTTTGTTTTCTTTCAATTTTTATATAGCTTAAATCTCTTAGAATTCAAAACAATCATATTCATTCAGCATCTTATAG